TGGTTTCAGCCAAACAGCTTGTCTTAAAGAATCATAATATTTAGTCAAATTTTGGAAAGTGGTTTTGGCTGAGAAATGTTCAGCCACGTTTCATATTAAAAAGTGTAGAAAAGCATTAAAAAAGAAAACTTCCTTCTCATTAAAAAAAAAAAAAAAATCTTTAGGTCACTCAAAGTCCAAATATTATAAATATTCAAATAGGATTGGGATCTCAATGTTTTATGTCACTGAAGTTTCATATTGCTGATCTGATAAATTTTATTGCTATGAATCTTTGTTTGTCAATTAAATATATTCTTTAAAAAAAAAAAAAAAAAACTTTTCTCTGCATTTTAATTTGAAAAATTTTATTTTTTTCTCTTAATATTCTGAAGGTCACAGGTTGATGGATATCCCCACTCCCAAATTCATTCTCTTGAGTAATGATTGGTACTAATTTGATTTGCTTTTTTTCTGTTCTTCACTTTACAAATAGTTATAATACTTTCTCTTTTGTGGATCTTCAGAAATCAGATCTGTCTCCATATCGGGTGTTTTTTGGATATTTGCAAGCATACAGATGAGAGAATATTTAATTCACCTTTGTTATACTGGTTTATATCATTTTACTTGCATACCTACATGTATACATATACTAATGTTGGTTTAAAAGAGTTTAACACCCATAATACATGATTGACCAATGAAAATCAAACAACACAAAAGCAATAATACCGGAAATTATTTCTTCTTTCGCTCCATATCTCATTCTCTGATAGAGCTTTAATAAAACTGAAACCTGGTAGATTGATAAACATTTACTATTTGTATTTATTTTATTCTGTTGGAATCTGATTCATATTTGATCCCAAACTCATATATATATATATATATATATATATATATATAGGGAGAGAGAGAAAGTAAGTAAAGTTGGATGATAATCTAATGGAATAGTAAATATATAAAACATTTTTCAAAACCTTTTACCTTAGTATTCTTCATTAATGAATTGGTGTCCTCAGAAAAAGAAATTTTCACATTTTAAAAGAAATGAATTTAGTGAAACAAAATGTAATTTAAGTTGGACACCTGAATGCATGATTTTACTTTAACTACATTGTTATAGAAACTAGATTTTCACTAACTTCAACTTTTTTTAAAAAAATTTATTTTAAGAATATATGTTTCACATTTTCCACTGACGTGATCTGGAACAACTACATTGAATCAATAGCTACATATACTGCAAGGAAAGTTGGTTCTCTGTGTCATGCCAGAAGGGTTTTCTTGTCTGAGTTCATCCTTCAAATCTATCATTTATCCTTAAATTGAATACTGTTGCCATATATGGTCTGGTGCCCCCGCTTTTCATCTCTAGGTTCTCAACAAAAGCCAAAGATGTATATGCAATGTGATAGGTCTTGACCTGGCATCTTGACTCCAGTCACTTTCACACAGATGTAATGTGGCTTCCCTCTGTTTTTTCAACAAATATTTTCATGATATCTGCTCTGACAAGCTATTTTCACCGGTGCCCTAACTGCATAAATTTAAGCATGCTACGAGGTTGGCATCTCAGTCCCACCCTTTTACTGTCAATACAGTTAAATGTAGCCTCTTCTTCTATTGCACTTCCTGACATTGGAACTGCCTTCCTCCTACTTGCTTCCCTGATAACTGTAATCTTCAAATATTCAAATATAATGTCAAGTGACATCTTCTGATGCCTTGATCTTGATCCCCAGCCTTCTCTTTATCCTTTCCTCAAACATCCCTCTTTTCTCTTACTTTCACTCTCTGTAACCCCTTGTGTGCTAGTGAAACTCCCACCTTGCTTGGGGTGATATGCTTAAAGTATTGAGGAAATTGTAAGTAGAAAAAGTTTATTTGTGATGTGTTTCATTCGTTAGGATTTCATCGAACTGGGTTTGTGGATGTTGTTTTGACTGCACATGAGAGATGCTGGTACTTTCAAAATTGAAAAAAAAAATTTTTTAGATAATTTTTTTCAATCTAGCCAAATTCATCTAAGAAAGGAAATTGTGGAGAGCCGTTATCAGCCATGTCCTGACAGGACACCCCACATAGAAGTATTTTGGGAGGATAAAAATTTTTAAAGTGAAGTGCTCAATATTAAGAAATAGATCATTAATCATAAAAAAAAAAAGATGTTCAAACCCATTTTCCCCAGATGAGTAGTTGTTATATGTAAAACATTGAGCTAGGAAGAGATATTTAGAAAAAAAATTTTTTTTTTTCTGAGATATCTATATAGGAAATAGGTTAAATCTGACATATTGTTATTTTTAATTGATTTTGTTTTAAATGTTATTTTTGGATGCATACTCATATTTGAGTAGAAGAATTAAAAACTTCTACTCGAATATGAGTATCCATCCAAAAATAACATTTAAACAAAAAATTAAAATAAAATATATATATATATATATATATATATATATATATATATATATATATATATATATTAAAAACAGATTGTTTTAAGGGCCCATTGATTTTATTTCCCCAGGAAATAAGATATAATCAATGGGCCCTTAAGGTTGCCTGTTTCTTTAATTAAGCTAATATTTGCTTTGGTTTTACATTGAGCTCTCTGGTTTACATCCTCCTTGGGATTATCCATATGCATTACCAAACATTTCATTACCTAACTAATATATATATATATATATATATATATATATATATATATAAAAATAATGAGAAAGAACAGTAAATCTGGTGTTCTTATTAAGTATTTTTAAAAAACAGTGCTCAATGCAGTTGTATAGGGCATAAACATTATATATATATATATATGTGTGTGTGTGTGTATATATATATATATATATCTTACTTATTATAAAACACAGATTGTGTGTGTGTCTGTAACGTTTACATATTGGATCTGATTTCCTACATTTTTCAACCGATTTCACAAAACTTCACAGGACTACATAAAATTACATTGTGGTGGTTCTAACAGCGCCAAAAATGGGAAAAATATAATTGTTTTTGCACAAAATCAATTTGAAAACACGATTAAGAGACATCGTGAAAATGGAAGGAGGACAACTCACATCGGGTTGTTTGTGTGTGTGGGTTCCTTTAAATATGGGAGCGGATTTCTATATTTTTCAGCCATTAAAACAAAACTTCACTTTTTTTTTTTTTTTTTTTTTTGGCAGGTAGTGTTTTGATTCTCTTGCACACTTTTTTTCTTTATTTTTAACATTCAGAATGCTTTAAAAATTCCATTTACAAGACAATTATTTATAATAAAATTCTATTCAATTGGAAGACTCATAATGATTGAAAACAATGTTTTTGTTCGAGTTTGGGTTTGACCAATTCGTAAAAAATAAAAAAAATAAAAACTAATTAAGACATGCGTGTCCGTCAACTTTAAACAATAATCTAACGATCTCTACTGATTGTACGAATACAAACATCGGATAAATTCTTTATCTTTATTATGTTTGAAATCTAAACATACACAAGTCCTAACTAAAAATAATAACCGGAACGGGAAACTACTTTAAATACACATGGTGTCCAATTTTTTTACTGTATTCAATAAGTAAAAATCATAAATTGTAAAAGATTATTATTACAGAAAGGCTACTAAATGAATAAGATTTGTTAGATCATAATTAATAAACCCAAATAAAGTTAATATTTTTGTATTAGAAACGAAAGTGGAAAATATATTCAAATCAGAATTTAATTATGAATCACCACAAGCAAAATATGCAATTTTTATTACTGTATTCAATAAGTAAAAATCATAAATTGTAAAACTAAAAGATTACAGAAAGGCTACCTACATTTTTCAACTGATTTCAACAAAACTTCACTTTTTTTTGGCAGGTAGTGTTTCTTATTGTCTTGCACACTTTTTTCTTTATTTTTACATTCAGAATGCTTTAAAAATTGTTTATAATAAAATTGTATTCAATCGGCAGAGACTCATAACGATTGAAAACAATGTTTTTGTTTGAATTTGGGTTTGACCAATTCGTAAAAAAAAACAAAAAAAAAAAAACTAATTAAGACATGCGTGTCCATCAACCTTAAACAATAATCTTTGCCAATTTTATTTTTCAGTCTTTATGATGGTGGATACTTGATCTATTTCTTACTGTTATACCCCGGGCAACACCGGACTCTACTAATATATATATATATATATATATACATGTGTTTTTTTTTATATATATATATATATATATATATATATATATATCAAGAACATTTTTAGAGGAAAGTAATATGACAAAGTGGGAAAATGTTTTCGTGTGACATGTTTTATAGTTTAGGACTTACTTAATCAGACTAAGTTTATGTTGATGTGTCTACACATGTGCAAGAATAAAAGAGACACTGAGAATTTTAAATTTAAAAAAGAAAAATATATAGTCGCATAGATGTAAACATAAACTTAGTCTGATGACATCCTGAAGGATGAAACGCATCACATTGAGCACCTCCCTGTACTTTTTCTATAAATACTTTCATGCTAATTGTTCAGATGAGCTCTTCACTATAGACCTTTTTGAATTTAAGTGCCGTACTAGACTGGCATCAAGATCTCATCAATTTACAGTTGAACTGACTAGATGTACCTGTAAGTTCTATGCTAACAGTTTCTTTTCTTGCACTTCACACTTGTGGAATTCTCTTCTGGCTCTATGCTTTCCAGTCAACTTTAACCTGCAAAAATTTAAATACAATGTCAATCGCTATCTTCTGTCCTCCTTATTACTCTTCCTCTGTTCTTGCTCCTTAGCAATGTTCTTGTTTGTAACTCTTCCACACCCAGCAACCTCTTGCATCTTAGTGGCTTTACTACCTTGTTTGGAGTGAACTCTATTAAAAACAAAAAACATTCTGTTAATTTGCAATATGTAAATCTGGAGCCTGACAATGAATATAGAGATTTGGGCCAAGGTGCATCTCTCTGTCTGCTTGTCAGATCAAATAATCAAGCTAGTTCATGTATAATATATGACTCATAGATGCACATGTGCATGAAAGCAACATATGTAAGCAAGAGTTTTGTATTAAAAGGACAGATGGTCCTGCTGAAGTGGAACCTCATATTATATACAGCATTTTGTTTCCTCTTGAATTGTACTTGCAGCTGAGCTTGACAATGTTTGGATTGTGGATTTAAGATAGTCTGGAGAGGTGGGGGGAGTGTATGATCCTTGTGATCACTTGCTGAAATTAATAATGTCAGTAAATATAAGAAGAAAGATATGTCTGATAGGTTTTATACATGGTGAACTTAAGATTCATAGGTTTAAATCGAAGATCAATACAAATATCTTTGAGCTGGAACATGCTGATCAACTCATCTCTGGCAGTTGTTCAAACTAATATCCTGATCATTTTTTTCTTTAAACAATTTTTCTGTGTGGGTGTCAAAAGGAAGAAAAAAGTAAAAAAAAAAAAAAATAAATGGTTAAAAATTGTGTATGCTTACAGGTTAAAGTTAAAACAAAAAAATTTTTTTTTTTTCTTTTATGCAGGTGAAGATAAGAAAATGAAATCAGCAAGAGGAGTTTAAATTCTAAGTTAATCTGCTCACTTTTTTTCCTTTTGCATATATTGGTTTGTGAAGAGTCTAAGTTGTAAAGAAAATTAAATGCTAAAAAATATTGAAAAATCTGCAGAAAGAAAATTTTTAAAAATTTTATTTACTTTTTTTATTTTATCTTTTTCAAGTTCTTGAATCCTTCAATAGTAGATTTTTTTTTTTGTTGTGCTGATAAACATCTATTTCTATTGCTTGGCTTTTACTCCCTTTTTTTCTTTTTTTTACTTTTCTTTTTTACTTTTTCCTCTTTTCTTTTTCTTTCTTTTTCTTTCTTTTCTTTTTCTTTCTTTTCTTTTTCTTTCTTTTTTTCTTTCTTTTCTTTTTTCTTTTTTCTTTTCTTTTTTCTTTTCTTTTTCTTTTCTTTTCTTTCTTTTCTTTTTCTTTTTTTTTCTTTCTTTTCTTTTTTTCTTTTCTTTTTTCTTTTCTTTTTTTCTTTTTCTTTTTTTCTTTTTCTTTTTTCTTTTCTTTTCTTTCTTTCTTTTCTTTTCTTTCTTTTCTTTTCTTTTTTCTTTTCTTTTTTCTTTTCTTTCTTTTTTTTCTTTCTTTCTTTTTTTCTTTTCTTTTCTTTTTCTTTTCTTTTTTTTCTTTTTTCTTTCTTTTTCTTTTTCTAATTTTTTTTCTTTTCTTTCTTTTCTTTTTTTTTTTTTTTTTTCTTTCTTTTCTTTATTTTCTTTTCTTTCTTTTCTTTTTTTTTTCTTTCTTTTTCTTTTCTTTTTTTTTCTTCTTTTTCTTTCTTTTTCTTTCTCTCTTTTTTTCTTTTTTTTTCTTTCTCTCTTTCTTTCTTTCTTACATTTTTTTCTTTTCTTCCTTTTCTTTTCTTTCTTTTCTTTTCTTTCTTTTATTTTTTCTCCTTTTCTTTCTTTTCTTTTTCTTTCTTTTCTTTTTTTTCTTTTTCTTTCTTTCTTTTCTTTTCTTTTCTTTTTCTTTTCTTTTTTTTCTTTTTCTTTTTCTTTTTTTCTTTTTCTTTCTCTCCTTTTTCTTTCTCTCAAGTTTTTCTTAATCAATGCACCCCAAACCAAGGCATTAATGCCACTAAGACTCAAGGGGCTATTAGGAATGAAATACAATGAGAAGATTTTAGAAGCAATCAGATTCGATTCTAAACAGGAAACAAGGGAGAAACCTATACTCTAGTTCAAAAGACAGGGAGGAGTGTGAACTGGATGATAGGCAAACATATCTACTCACATTAAAAATAAAAAAAAATAAAAAGTAAATAAAAATTTCAGTATTTAGTGACATTAGAAGTATAGAGCTGAAATAGACTTTAGTAAGGACTGGAAAACCCAATCCTAAACAGGAAACAAAGGATAATCCTCAAATGATGTTCAAAAGACTATGGAGGTGTGCGAATTTATTCCCACTAAGATAACTGTACAGGATATATGAACTTTATACTTTTGCACAAATTCCCTTGGGGAATGCACGATTTTATCTGCCTTCAGCTATGGGTTGAACAGGAAGGTAGACTAGGATCTTTAGCCTTGCATGGCACCCAGTCTAAGAAAAGGAAAACTCTGAATTCCAAATTGTGGAGATTGCAATGAAATGTATGGCAATAGTAAGGGATCATAAAGAAAAGGAATTTCTGGAAAGTCATGATTATTTCCATTCTGAAAGGGCTGGGAATTAGAAAAAAAGAAATAAGTAAACATGATCGTTCCATTGAGCAAGGGAGGTTGTAAAGTAACCCTTTTTATTTAATAAAATGTACTGCCCATTTATACAAAGATATATTAAGTTTTGACGGATTTCTTTGTGAAAAACTTATTTGTTTGCCAATCCACATTACTCGATCAATGTTGAGATTGATCTGGAAGCATGTTCTTTAGCAATTCATAGGTTAGTGTAGTGCAGGTGGAATGGGTTAATGGTCGGAAGCAAGAATCAGTCAACATATGTTAGCCAATATTCGCAAGATCATGGTGGACAATTTACATAGGCATGTCAGTACAACTGGTTTGGCAATGCCGGAACATTTATTAAAAAAATATAGCAATTTGCCTGGCCTTATAACGAAGAAATGTTCTCAGTACTGAGGAAGGCTAATTCTGAATTTCATTTGGATGTGTTGGAATCTATTTGCATTAAGTCCTACCAGCCATCCCTCTGTAAGCATGGGGTGGTCATTGGGCTTAAATGTAATCAGCTAGTAATTGTTATATATTTATGACATAATATTTGTTCTGGGGTGTTCCTTTTTATCACTGTGCACACTTGTCCTTGATTGAGCAAGTACTAATAAACCGGTTTAGCTGTCTTTTTTAGTTAATTGCGTTGTATTTTAATATCACCACTTTGCAATAATGTTATTTTAATGTTACTTCTCTTTTATTATTTTTCCATTTTTATTGCTTTAAGTTTTGTACCCCAGCTAAAAGATTTCAAAGATAATGCTATTTTTGCTTTTAAGTAATATATTCAACAATTTATTATTTCTGTAATCTTTTTTGATAATTTTTTTCCCTCTATGACCTTCCTCACATCATTACTTTTCTACAACTTTTTTGTAGGGATTGGTAACAGTAAGAAAAAAAAAATATATAGGCTTCTCATTCAAATGTTTTTTTTTTTTTTTTTTTTTTTTTTTTGTTTAAAAGTGAAAAAATAGCATCAAATTTAATTCCTTCGGTGGCGTGTGTGATACACGCTTGTGCAATCCTGTTTCTTTTCAATTCAGGATTGACTTGGCAGTAGAACTTTTGCAGTAGACTTGTTGCCAACCAAGGCTATAGGAAGGGCCCAGTCTGCCCTGCTATTTAACCCATTGTGGGAGGGGAGAAATTAATTTCCAAAGGTATTTGCACACAAGTTAATTTAATGAACTCGACTGGAATTCAGATGTGGCTCTCCAATTTGTCATTCTGAGTTGCTATCCATTACGATATCTGCATACCCACATTCAATAATTTATATAAATAGCAACATATTCAAAAATGTCTAATAAGTTCTGTAATCTTTTTTCCAGTAATTTTCTTCAAATGTCAATTTCTCCATAAAATTTTCTGCCATCATTTGACATTTTCTCATGCAATATTTTCTTGTCCTCTCCTGGTATGACAGTTTTCCTGTGTCTGTTACCCCCCCTTGTATGACAGTTTTCCTGTGTCTGTTCCCCCCGCCACTTGTATGACAGTTTTCCTGTGTCTGTCTCCCCCCCCTTAATGACAGCCCCTTGTCTATGTATGACAGTTTTCCTGTGTCTGTCTCCCCTCCCCCCCCCTTGTATGACAGTTTTCCTGTGTCTGTCTCCCCCACCCCTTGTATGACAGTTTTCCTGTGTCTGTCTCCCTGCCCTTTGTATGACAGTTTTCCTGTGTCTGTCTCCCCCGCCCCTTGTATGACAGTTTTTCCTGTCTGTCTTTGTATGACAGTTTTCCTGTGTCTGTCTCCCCCTTTGTATGACAGTTTTCCTGTGTCTGTCTCCCCGCCCCTTTGTATGACAGTTTTCCTGTGTCTGTCTCCCCGCCCCTTGTATGACAGTTTTCCTGTGTCTGTCTCCCCCCGCCCCTTGTATGACAGTTTTCCTGTGTCTGTCTCCCCTATGCCCCTTGTATGACAGTTTTCCTGTGTCTGTCTCCCCCCCTTATGTGTCTGTTTTCTGTGTCCCCCCCCCCTTGTATGACAGTTTTCCTGTGTCTGTCTCCCCCCCCTTGTATGACAGTTTTCCTGTGTCTGTCCCCCCCTTTGTATGACAGTTTTCCTGTGTCTGTCCCCCCCCCCTTTGTATGACAGTTTTCCTGTGTCTGTCTCCCCCCGCCCCTTGTATGACAGTTTTCCCTACCCAACCATGCAACAATTTTTCTGTGGTTTTTCTGAGGTTTTATTTTTGCTATCAATCTCTCAACCTGTTACATATTTGTGATGGCAGTCTTTAGGGATAACCTTAAGAGCAGAAACAGAGTTGCTATTCTTTTTGTTAATACAGAACTATAGTTTCTCTTAGTCCCATAAAAACATACCAAAGAGTTACATACATTTGTCTTCAGTTTAATCAGGTCAAATATGACCTTACTATTAATGGCTTTTATGTTCCTATTTTCTTTTTTATCACTTTTGGTTTTATCCATTCAATCTTTCTCCACTTGAAAAAACTCATAAAACTATAATGTTTACACTTTTGATGATTAATTATCCCTGACATTTTATCTGTGGGTGTATTAATTGAAGCAGATAGGGAGGGAAATCATGTTAGGCCTTGATTCTTTCAGGTAAATGTACAAGGAGGTGCTTAAAAGTTTCCAGGCAAAACAAAGAAGAGTTTCTGCCATTTGGTCATATTTTGGGAATTGAGCGAGTTTGAGAATTTTTCAGTAGCTTTTTATAGTAAAACTTCATCTCAGAAGTTATCAGTGTATGTATGTATGTATGTATGTGTGTATATATATATATATATATATATATATATATATATATATATATATATGTGCGTGTGTAATATACCTGATTAAACAATTTAGTCTTTTTGTGTTTGTTTATTTTCAATAATATCCTTTCATTATCACAGATAAACTTTGTTATTCCATGATTAATGAGAGCAGGGAAGGTACTGTTGTTGTATTTATTCCTTTATATTTTTCTGAGTACTTTCAATATTTTCCAATATCATCTTCAGGGTTATGACCCAAAATAAATTTTTGCTTTTGTGGTTAAATCTTTAGCAGTTCTTGTCAAGCAGTGATTTTATTTTTTTATTTTTTATTTTTTTCTTAAATTTTCCATATTGTAAAAATTTTAATATAAGGGAGGTAACTTAGTTAAGTATGGAAATCATTAGAAGGTTATAGTTTGCTTCTTTTTAAAAAAAATGTTTAGTTTTAATGTAGATATTTCTAAAGAATTATATACCATAAACATTTCAGAATATTTGTACTATATTCATAATTAGTTTTGTTAAGTGTCGGTTTCCATTTTTTTAATAATGCTTACTTTGTGAATTTGTATTTTCTGCTTGGTGAAGTATACAGGTACTGTCAACTAATATTCTAAATTGTGAATGTGGACAAGTGTTTTTATAGATGTGCAATGGACAATGAATCATGCATGTGTAGAGTGGGCTGTCTTAATAATGTGTGTGTGTGTGTATATATATATATATATATATATATATATATATATATATATATATATATATACACACACTGAACAAAATTTATTATGAGTGTAGAAGCAATGTTTTAAAATGAATTTGAGTTGACTAAGATTTAACAGCAATTTGCATTTTTACCATGTCTGGTTAACTCCCTTACAGTATGAATGCTTGTTTACGAAAAAAAAAACATTTTAGCTACAATGGTTAATTTTCAAAATTATTATAACTAAGCATGTTCATGCATGTTTACAAAAATCACTATCACAACAATTACCATTACATTAAGTTTGTCTTTGCAATTCAACCTTGAGGATTATCTCACAGGACGTGAAGAGTACTTGGGTTAACAAGAACTACTGTGCCTCCCTTGATGAACTTCAACTTATCATCAAAAAGATAATTAGAGAACTTGAAAGGATTATTATAAAAATAAATACATAATATGTCTATATTAGTCAATGAAACATGCTTGAATAAAAAATATGCTTCTTCTCTTTCTCTCTAAGGAAAAAATAATATATATATATATGTATGTCTCTCTCTCTCTCTCTCTCTATATATATATATATATATATATATATATATATATATATATATATTATAGTAAAAAAGGAAGAACAGTAAGATATATAATCGGTGTTCTTATTGATATTTTTATTTTTACAAAACAGTGCTCAATGTAAATTTGCAGGGCATAAATATTATAAATTAACTGATTTAAAAATATGGTTCCTTCGTTACACAGGAATTACCATGCTTCAAAAACCACAGCTAAAATCTTCAAATTTAATTATATCATTAAATTAAAAGCCTTAGTTCTGTTTCATCTTCAAGCAAATTTTGGAATAACTTATTTTTAAGTTTACTGAGTTTTAAAAACACTACAATCCACATACACACACACGTTTTTTTAATATATATATATATATATTAAATAACATTTACCGCCTGAATGTCCGAGAAATTTTCATAGAAAATATTCGTCCTTTGACAGGATTCGAACCTGCATCCTATACTGGAACCGTCATTTACGCTGACGTGCCTTAACCAATTTTCGGCCACAAAGGAAGCGTTCAGGTAGGCAAGGTCGAATTTACTGCTTATAAACTTCAATCTTCCATGAATCTCGTACATTCATAACTGCTCATGGCGTATCAAATGTAAACAAATGACGTCATACATTTCTCGGACATTCAGGCCGGTAAATGTTATTTAATACTGTTTATTATAAACAGAGCATATATATATATATGTTTTTTTTTCCCTTACTGCTTCAATTAACGCCAGAAGAATTTACGGGCTTTGTCTGATTTTAACTGGGTTTCATACCTGTGGACAATGGCTTGTAAAGAAGATGAATTAAAAAAAAAAAAAATTTTATGTTGAAATAAATGCAAAATCAACTTCTACATGCAGTATTGTACAAATGAGGGATTCCTTGGCCCAAACCCTATAATCACCCTGCATAGCAGATTGCTTTCTATAATTGACTTAGGAGATATGAGTGACCAATAATTGAAAATACTGGGTAAATTTTATATGAACTTAGTGGAATGTTTTATCAAAAGTTAGACTTTGGAATTCCCCTTTCTTAAACTCAATAAAATTGGTAATGTTCAACTATCAGAAATGACAATCAGAGGTCAAAAGTCATTGATTAAGAATTGCACCACCTGCTCTGACCTGACCTGCAATTGGTATCTATTAATACACTACAAATAGCAAATAGTCTACTCTAATGCATTTCTCTTCTATTGTCTCATCATTGTTGATTAAAAGAAAATTAAATTAGCCAATGAATAATTTTAGAATCTGATAGGTAAATGTTACTTTGACCCTTTAGCATTTGACCCATCCTGTAAATATCAGCTCTCAATATTCAACCCACCATATGTATACTCTGCCATAATGTATGTTGACATTGTTACAAATAATGCAGGAAGTCACACAAGCAGTGAGACCTTGACCACAAGCAGTGAGACCTTGACCACAAGCAGTGAGACTTTGAGAGTTGATATTTATGGAACAGGTTTGAGTGTGTTGAATGCTAAAGAGCTTAAGGGAAGTACTTAATTTCAATTCCCTTGAAATATACGCTGCAAATTTTGAAAAGAAAATGTAACTGGTGCTGCCATTTGTTTTCTGTCCAAGCTTTTACTTGCAATTTTTTTTCTTTCTCTCTTTCCCTGTAACTTTTCTTTCCTGTGTCCACCCCTCCTCTACTTCTAACTTTTTGCTTTGTGACTATTTCTTGTGACTTTTTCTTCACAACCTTATGTTTCTTTAATCTTGATATTCAGATTCTAGGCTTCTTATTTTGGATAAAACTTAATGTAGTTACTGTCAACTTTATTTGTGATAGCAGAGTTCACACTGAACCTTTAAAATGGTGTAACCTTAATAATGGAGATTACGGGTAATTTATTTATCTATCTTGTGACTAATGACGATCTACTTGAATGTTTTCCGTACTTGACAAGAAAAAAAACAATTGTTTAATACTTATCTATATTTGTTACAAAACTTGTATGAAATATTAAATCAAGATGTTTGTCTTAAGGATAGAAAATCCTAAATATTAGCCTTGCTTACATAAAAAATTTTAACTCCAAAATAGTGAAGCATACTACAGCAGTATTTTTGCTTTCATTATAGTCTCTTAGCCTAAATGGGATTTCTAAATTATTTTTCATGTATCACTAAAAAAGGCTTTGAATGAGTTTTGTCAAAGATCAACCTCCTTTGAATCTTGTGGATTGGCACTACAGAATCACAAAGAAAGAACTGTACCAAATAAAAGAAACCCCATTGCTTATGGACTACCAGCAGCGGCAACAACTAAAATGGAATAGCACATGTAACTCAAAGAGAAAATAATGGCATAATGAAGATGTTGACATTTATCACTACTGGAAAGAGTGATAACAGCTACCAGACTTGAAAAACATATTTTCTTGAAAGAATTGTTTTAAGAGAAAGATTTGTAGAAACTTCAACTGAAAGCAGTACTGGCTGCTTGGTCAATGAATGCCAAATGTTTCCTTATAGGGAGACAGCTCATATTACCATTATCCATTACCCTACCAGCAAGTCCAAGTCACCATAAAATGGTAGCACCAAGATGAGGATTTGTGGTTTGTGAAGATACTGTGTGGTATGCCTGGATGAACCAAAGACTTACAATAATGATAGGAAGCTGCCTTTTGGTTATAATACTCAGTAAAAAAAACAATATATATGGTATGACACTAATTGGATATATGGTATTTATTACATATGAATAATAACTGTAGGCTTATATGCCTGGGGTTCATGATTGCTTGCATCTTGTGACTGGGGTTCGTGAGGGTTGGCACACTCCACTCGACAACTTAACCCATTCAGTGCTAAGATGCAGGGTAAGCAGGGATGTGTAATATATATATATATATATATATATATAATATGAGAGGCATGGTGGAGTAATGGATAGCAGCTTGGATTGAGGAATCAGAGAGCCGAGTTCAAATTTCAGTCGAATCCATTACATTCACTTACATGGAAAAGTGTGAATTGTCTTCTTCTCCCCCCAGCTATGGGTAAATATCTAGGACAGACTGGGTTCTATAGCCTTGGATGGCAACTGGTATAGGAGAAGGACAACTTTGAATTCAAAACCTGCGGAGGGTCGTTTGGGGACCTTGTGGCACGTAGTGCACCAGGTCTCTGTATTCAGCCCTTCAAAAAGTGTGGATGGTCCTGCATGAAACCTTCACCACTATAATCAAATCTCATGTGCTGTTGTTGGGCTGTCGGTTTTCTAGGAACTGATCTGCTTGACCCTCATACGTTGAATTGAACGGAAGAGTCGAGAGTATGTATGTATATATATATATATATATATATATATAAACAAACAAAATGTGTGTTAGCATATGGGTAATCAAGATGTTGACATTCCACATTACCATAAACAAAAGTTTAGAAAAGGAATCCCACATCAGTGCTAGAATGAGCAATAACAGTTGATTTGAGAAGACTATTTTCCTGAAAACTGTTTTAAGAGAGAGTTTTTATAAATTTCAAATGATAATAACACTATGTGGTTAATGAATGAATAACACTATGTGATTAATGAATGCTGAATGTTTACTAATAAGGTAACAGTTTCTCACCATTAACAGACAATTGTGAGTTTTACTTAACAGTACACTATATTCATCTTTTCTGACATTTTTTTTTTCATTTTCTTTATTTTATTTTTCTTTTCTTTATTTCTTTTTTTCATTTTTATTTTATTTTATTCTTTTTTTCTTTTTCTTTTCTTTTTTTTATTTCTTTTTCTTTTCTTTTTTCTTTTTTTTTCATTTTATTTTATTTTATTTTTTTTTTTCTTTTCCTCCCTTTATTTCTTTTTATTCCTTTTCTTTTCTTTATTTCTTTCTTTTTTCTTTTTTCTTTTCTTTTCTTTTTATTTTTTTTTCCCTTTTTTCTCCCTCCCTTTTCTTTTCTTATTTCCCCTCCCTTTTTCTTTTATTTTCCCCCCCTTTTCCCATTTCCCCCCCAATAACACTCTTCCTTTCTTTCTTTTCTTTTCTTATTTTTGAATGCTTTATCTTTTTTTTCTTTTCCTTTATTTCCCCCCTAATTTCTTTTCCTTAACAGTTTCTCACCATTAACAGACAATTCTGAGTTTTATTTTTCTTTTTTCTTTTCTTTTAACTTTATTTCTTTCTTTTTCTTTTCTATATTCTTTTCTTTTCTTTTTTCTTTTTTTTTTTCATTTTCTTTATTTTATTTTTCTTTTTTTCTTTTCTTTTTTCTTTTCTTTTATTTTTCTTTTCTTTTTCTTTTATTTCTTTTCTTTCATTTTCTTTTTTTGTTTTTCTTTTCTTTCTTTTATTTTTCTTTTCTTTTTCTTTTTTTTTTCTTTTTTCTTTTTTCTTTTCTTTTCTTTATTTCTTTTCTTTTCTTTATTTCTTTTCTTTTCTTTATTTCTTTTCTTTTCTTTATTTCTTTTCTTTCATTTTCTTTATTTTATTTTTCTTTTCTTTTCTTTATTTCTTTTCTTTTCTTTATTTCTTTGTTGGGATTATAGTGTAAATAAAATGATTATAGTGAATAAAAATGAGATAACTGTTAGTATATTTTGGTACAGTTATTTGTGAATTCTGCTTTTGCTGGTGAATTTTATTTTGAAATTCAACTTTTTTGTAAATTTGCTTGATATTATGTGGATATTTGTTTGTTTGTTTAACTACAGTAAAAAAAGAACAAATAATTTAAGCTAATATGCTTTGACCTCATGCAGAAAACTTATGTTTTTTGATTGAATTTCTGGTATGAAAAGTTATCATGATTTGCATTTAGACTATTGGCCTCATCTTTGTTATTATCACAATGTTTCAGCCATTGTACCCCCTGGCCTTCTTCAGGTACTTGTTGACCTGACTAACTTTCAGATAATTCCAAACTAAACCCTTTATTTAACCTATCGGACTAGATTGTTCTTATTCTGCTATCCATGTCTAGAATTACTGAGCAGTACTAAATAAGATCTAGTATTGCTCAGTTATTTTGGTGTCATACTAATTGTGAGTTAAATCCCTGGGCTAGGTAGTGCAGACTTACACCTAGTGGAAACAGTGTTAGCAATAACTGAGAAATTGAGAACTACTAAATAAGAACAAGACAGGATATGTCCAGACGTGGTCAGTGATGTGAGAACAATCTAACCTCATAAATTAAGTAAAAGGTTCAGTTTGATATTCCCTGAAATTTATCCTGATTGAGAAACTAATAATAATAATAAAAACAACAAAGATGAGGACATTAGTTTGAGGTAAATAATCTAAATGAGAGGTGCTGGATTGACAAACACCTGAAGAAGGTTGGAAGGCATAATTGCTTAAACATTGTGTTAACACCAAAGATGAATACAATAGCCCATATGTAAATAATGAAAATTATTCTAGATAATAAATTATTTTTGTTGCAATCATTTGTTTTAGAATGTATTTGAATCTCTTCTTTTCACCTCCTGTTCTCGAGTTGGAAATCAGAAAAGACAAAGTCAAAGAAGAGATTCAAGGACATTCTAAAACAAAATCTGATAAATGTAACATTGACATCAACAGTTGGGAATCCAGTGCAATGGACAGGAATCTCTGGAGATCCATTGTCAGAGGCAGAACAACAATCTTTGAATTCAAACGATCAGCTGAATTAGAGGAAAAAGATCTCAAAAAGGAAGACAACATCCACCAAGGCCTAATCCACCATTTGGAATGACCTGTCCTCAATGTCAAAGGATCTATCAAGCAAAGAATCAGTCTCATTAGCTATCTCAGAGTTCACAAACTCAACTTACTGATGCAAACAGATGATCATCAACCTCAAGGGACAGCCAAGACTTTATGAGTGGATGAGAGGATTGGATTAAAAGATTATCCAACTTAAGATTTAGCTGATTTGAGTAAGAAATAATGAATTATTCTGAATTTCTAAATGGAAAGAAATCTGTCAGAATCATTTAAACTTTTGGCTTTACGGAAATCTTTTTTTTTCTTTGGTCAATGAACATTGTCATAAATATGGGGTACCACCTGAGGAATACAGACAAATACCCATTTCTCTTGGCTGATGACCCAGGTGTTTTTTTTTTTTTTGGCTTTGCTTCTTTATTGCAATTAAATGTTGGTTGAGATACATATCTTTTCAGATTGAATGAATAAACAAATAATATTAGTAAATCGCATAAGTTTAGAACTCATGTAATTCCATGAAAAAGTTTCTTCAAGCATTAATGATCAAATTCTAATTAATTCCCCCATGAATTTGTACCTTGTCAAGATTATCACTCTTGGCATGTCAAAATATTAAGTGTAATCACAAATAGATTTTCAATTGATGGCCAATTGGAGAATGGAAAGTAAAAATGTAGATACAACTAATATAAATGAGAATTGTGTACATCTGTTTAAGATGTTTATTTTAGTCTGTAGATAACATTGATAGAATTGAATGGAAGCCATGTTTGGTTTCAGTGCTTTTATCATAATTTTTAAGATTTTAAAAATATCAAAGGAAATTCTTTCTGAATATAATCTCTCTTTAAGTCTCCATTTAGAATTCAGTGAAAAATAATTTATGCCATACAGATTAATTTTGTGTTTTTGATTCAATATTTGAACTTTCTATTACATTTTCGAATATTGTTTTTGGTCGTTCTTTTTATTCAGTGATTTGAGAATATTGAACATCTTCAGGGAAATGGCTTTTAAATAAATGCAATTCTAAGTCTGTTAAACAGTTTGTTTTATTTTTTTTTGTTACATGCCATGACATTGACTTTCCAAAGTTTATTCTGTGAGAAATTCTTTTTTTTTTTATTGGCAAGATGGAAAAATACTAAACTGTTTTATTCTTGCTGATGTGTCAAAGGATGCAAGGAAAAATGAAAATATTTTCAAAATTGAACATTAAAATACAGTTTCTTGTATTCCTCCAAAAAATGTAATTATAAATTTTTAAAAATTTTTTCTGAAGAGATGAGAAAAAATTGTTTTCTGCCATTTATTGCCATTGGAACCATGACTGTTTTTTTTTTTTTAATTCTTTGTTGCTGTTTGCTGAATATTTTCAGCTTGATTCCTTTCACATGTTTTTTTTTTTTTTTTTTCTTTATTCAAATTCTTCTGCAACCTTTAATTGCATGACAAAAATAATTGGGAGTATCTCTAACTGGGTAGACAAAGAAAGAAATGCCATTAATATCGGTGGCTTCTTTGCATAAAACATCTGCAGAAGTTTGAGAATTATTTAGTTTTTTCAACAGCCAGAATTTGCAAGCTACTTTACCCCCAATCGACTTTCTGAACACTTTTCAGAATTAGTTTGTTTTTGTTTCTAGCTGGTACTAAAACTATTGTTCTTTTTTTCTTTTCCTTTGATGGATATATTTTTTTTTTTTTTTTTTTTTTGCATTTGCTTGAATTTCAAGGTCTTTCTTTATCCTCATCACATTACTTTTAAATGTGACTCTTGCAGGTAAATTTAAAATCAAAATAAGAAAATGAAACTCTGAAATCTTAGTTATAAGCCTACCGTACTTCTATTGTGTGTGCGTGCACATGCCTGTAGATGCTTTATTTATATATGGATATTTCGTAAGTTTAACTGTCCTTTGACATTGAAAACTGGTGCTGTCTATTGTAAAACAATAAATTTATATAATATCTATTCTGTGTTCCTTTTTAAATCTTTTATAAGCTGGCTGTTTGGATAAGCTGCTAATAAAATTGGAAGGTCACTAGTTCTTGTGTAAGTCTGAGTCATACTCAAAAGATCCCAGCTAGACTCCATAGTCTGATGATTTACAGATACTTATATGTAGTTACTACCTATAGTGTACTCACTTATGGGAGTGACAGGTTATTCCATTACATCATAAATATATATATATATATAAACTGTACCTCTTATTCTGTAACCCTCTACTCGTGTGGCTCTTGGGCCTTGTACAGGATGAACACCATTGTTAAAAAAAAAAAAAAAATATGTATGGCTGATGCCCTCTGATGTTGACAGCCATATTATCATCATCCATAGTGATAATTGTTAGACTCTCTACATGGCTATACTATATGGAATGGAATTGGAATATTGTGATGTGCAATTGTTATAAGGAAAAATAATCATCTTCATGGAGGATGAAATGACCAGACAGTTAAAAAACGTTTTGTTCTTCTTTGTTTCTAAAACACATTTTTGATTTGGGTAACAGATGAGAAGAGATATGGCTTATTATAAAAAAAATTGATGGCTGATCTAAGTGTAGTTTCCCTTTGCATCTTTCATAAATATCTTCATAGTAATTGTTCTGACAAGCTTTCCTTGTTGGTACGTTGACTTCATGAATTTAAGCACTGTATTGGCAGTTAGGTCTCCTAATTCTTCTGTTAAAATTGAAAGTTGTAACCATAAGCTCTATGCTACTAGTCTCTCCTCTTGCAGTTCTCTCTTGTGGACCTCTCTTGCAGTTTCCTGCTTTCCTGTCAATTATGATCATCAAAAATTTACATGTGATATTGATCCTCTTCTATCTCTTTAAATCCTGTTCTTTTATTGTCCTCACTGTTACTTTCACTAACCATATCATAGTGGCTTTTATTGCTTTGATTGGGATGAAATCATCAAAAAAAACAAAAAAAACTATGATCTTCAAAACTTTGAATGCAACATCAATTGTCAATGTCTTTCTCCTTGAAGCCTGTTCCTTCATTGCCCTCTCTGTTTCTTTCACTCTCACTAATCCTTGTGACTTTTATTGCCTTGATTGGAGTGAAATGATTAAAAAAAAAAAAAAATTGAAAGCTTAAGATGCTTAGATTTTTAGCTCCCACATGTCATAGTTGGTCAAATTGGTTCAATTAGTTTCTATACTTTATTTCTCCCCCTTAATTTCTTTTTTCATAGTTGTCTGATTTAAAAAAAAAAAAAAAAAAAAAAACAGCTTTTATTATTTGTTCTTTCCAGTGTGAGTTTAAGAATTTTATAATTATCTCTATTCTTTAGTTTTCTCTCTGTGCTGTTCATTTGCGGCAATGAACAATATCTTTCATAGATACATGGGATATTTTCTTTTTTTTTTCTTTTCTCTTCTCTCTCTCTGTCTGCTTTTTGTTTTTCCCAATTTGTAGAAATCTGTCTTTGTTCCTCCTCCAGTTTGCTTTTCTTTTACTCTTTCTATTGTTTTTTTTTCCTCTATTTCCTTGCTTGCCACCACATCATGTTGCAACACCAGTCCCTGTACGATTACCAAAGTTAAGCAATCTAGAAACTGATCACTTACCTAGATGGATGGCCATTTGGGAATACCAGGTGGTGTAAACTTGGATGTGCAGGTGGTGTAATGGATAATGACTTGGAATTGTTAATCAGAGAACAGTTCCAGTTCCCGTTGAGGTTCATTTTATCCACTTAAGCGCAAATACTCTTGGGAACGGTATTAGTAAGACTTGTATCACTAAATCAATATTATCTCAAAAAAAAAAAAAAAATTCTTACACTCTAAATATATTTTCTGGCTTTAAATAAC